AAACGGGGCCCCACACCACCCCCAAGGGGCAAGGGCTGCCCTCTCACCCCAACTGCTCAGACCCGGGCACCAGAGCCCACCTGTGCTCCTGACTCTCCCACCCACAGCCCACCAGGGCTGAGCACAGGATCCCCTCCCTCCCCAGGAGGCTCTGCCTGCCTCCTCTGGCCCATGCTGACCCCCCAGGCCAGAGCCAGGCAGCTTCCAGTCCCCGCTTGACAAATATTTACTGTGCAAACATAATCCTACCACTGATAAGGGGCTAATGACAAGGCCAGTGATGATGACAGTGTCAGCCGGCGCTCTCCAGGCACCTGCCTGCCCCGGGCACCCAGCTGACAAATCTTTTATCCTCACAGCCACCTGGTGTGAAAGATGTGCTCATCCCATTTCACAGGTGAGTAAACTGAGGCCCCACAAGGTGAGGTAATTAGCTCGTGGGCACATGGACTGTAACAGGAGTCGGGCTTGCACCCTGGCCTGTCGTGGTGACTCAGAGCTCCAGCTCTGCTGATGGAGGGGCTGGGGGAGGGAGGGGTCACCCACTGTGATAAAGGGGCCTGGACATCACCAGGTCATCTGCCTATGCAGAAGCTGGGTGGACCCTTAGAGACCATCCCACAACGATGGGAGACCGAGGCCTGAGAAAGAAGGCCCCGCCCAAGGCCGCGTGCTGAGCCGGTGCTAGAGCCCGCCCTGCACCAGCCCCGTGCCCGCTGCTCACCTTGCGCCACAGCAGCTGGGCCTGCGGCGGCCCGGTGCCCTCGATCTCATGGCGCATGCTGTTGAAGAGGGCCACGCCATACTGGTCCTCGTAGAAACGGAGGAACTCCGTCAGTATCTTCCCGGTTTTCTCTGAAAGGGAAGGACAAATGGACCATGAGGTTGGCATGGTAACTTCCCAGCAGCGACCTTGCCCCGGCGAGGGGCACCCACAATGTCCGAAATTCCAGCTTGTAAAACTGTCCGCACAAGCTCCAAGCTTGCTTCTGTGCTGCGCTTCTGGCCGGAATTGTGCATTTCACCTGCACACATCTGGGTGAGCCTCTGAGCAGGAAACGGGGCAATGACCTTGACAGAGAAACCACCAAAGAGAAGACACAAGAAACCAACAGACCAGTGAAAAGATGATCGACCTCGCCAGCCAGCCAACAAATGAAAAAGGAGCCAAGATTCCATTTTCCCCCAGGGTCCGACCGGCCAGGACGTGGAGAACAGGCACCTTAAACCAGGGCTTGGGAGTGGGAAACCAGGACGGCTTTTCAAGGGAGACTGAGGCCATGTGCACGGTTCTAAGGGTGTGTCGAGCTCTCTGGTGCCACGGTCTCTCCTCTAGGAACCCAGCCCACATAACTCACATGAGAACAGCAAGCAACTATGCACCAGAAACCACCAGAAACAAGCCAGTTGTACACAGGGGGAAAGATTCAACACCTAACAGTTCACCCGGGACAGTCAGATGGAGGGGACCCATGCACACGTAGAACCAAGAAAGGGAAGGTGTCTGCACTCTGTCATGTAAAGAGAACTAAGGAATCACACGTTCAGTATCATCTCATTGAAAATCATTCCTGTATGTGCAAGTGAGTTATTGACACTTGGAGACTTCAAGGAAGAGGCCCAGAAGGCAGCCCTCCAGACTGTTAAGGGCAGCGCATCTGGGTGTGGGAATGAGTACAGAGTGCATTTCATTTTCTGCTTCATTCATTTGTACCGCATTTGAATTATTCTACAAGCATGACTCCTTTCACAGTGAAAAATAAACATTCTAAAATTAACTCATCTACCAAGTTAACAACCACTTTGCTTTCACTGGCTGTTGCTTCTTTCTTTTACTAAAGCAGTTTCTGAACAGAGAAGGGGCACCCTAATGCGCCAGAGCAGGCCCAGCACATGTCAGACACTGTTGTTTGCATCCCTTTTTACAGATGAAGAAACTGAGGTTCAGAGAGGGTTGTGGCCCATGACCAGGGGGCCTTCTCCTTGGGCGAGACTTCCCGGTCCGGAGTAGCTGCAGGAGAATCTAGACGTGGGATTCACATTGGCCCACTGCGCACTCCCCTCAGTGTCCGCCCGCACACCAAGAGGACTGGACTCAAAAATAAACAGGTCCTGCCACCTCGGACAGTCTTGGGTTCTAGGTTCTGAAGACCTGGTCCTTTCTCAGAGACACTGTCCCTCCCACGCCTGGTCTCTGAATACCAAGGGCACCCGGCTAGGACAGCATTTCCTTTAATCCTCTCCATAGCTCTAAGAGGTAGGGCTGCTGCTATCCCCATCTTACAGAGGAGGAAACTGAGACTCAGAGAGGTTAAGTCACTGGCACAAGGTCACACAGCTAGTAGGTGTTATAGCTGGAATGCAGTCCTGAGTCTGAGCCAGGAGGTGGTGGCTGGGGAGGACATCTAAGAGCATGTGCCACATCCCACACCCAGGGTCTCGGGCAGGCCCCCTCCCTACTCTCCTTCCAGAGGCAGCTTGGCCTGTGGTCCCTCTCCACAGGCCCGTGCTCCCCTTTCCTGGAATGAGGTCGTGTCTGTTCAGATTCTGTTTTGGGGGGAGGAAGGGGAGAACAAATGAGGAATTTGCTTTGAATGCCTATTTTTTAAAAACTATAAACAACCAGAGCTCTCTCAAAGACCACAAAAATTGTTTTGAAAAATGATGAGGCAGGATGAGGGGGGAGAGGGGGTAATGAACTGGAGCCAAATAGAGAAAACAGGACCGTAGACAACAGTCACATTGATGGAACATGTAATCATCATCATCGTCGCCACCGTTTACTGTGAGCCCAAGTCAGTGGGTGGGCCAGGTTTACGTGCACGATCCCCACGAATCTTCATGAAAACCTTAAGGAGTCAGTGCTATCGTTTCCCCATTGGAGGGCTCAGGAGGCTTGTAGACCCAGGACTGAAGAGCCAGGTTCTCAACCTCAGCCCAGGATTTTGTCCCAATAATGCCTCAAATGACCGGACATCCCAGGGCACTCTCCCAGCATGCAGGATGGGGGGGCCTGGCCCTCGGATTTCAAGGGTCCTGCGGCCACGGCTCTAGGAGGCCTGACTGCGCCCTGGTGCACGCAGCAGCCTCAGACGGAGCATTATTCCCAGAAGGGCTGGAATCTGCCCTGATCCTTGAGGAGCCAGGCCCAGGAGGAAGCTGCATCCTGTGTCAGGACTCGAACCTAGGTTTACTGACCTACGGCATGCTCTTAGCTGCCGGGTCAGCCAAGCCCAGATATCCTGTCCAGGCAGGGAGTGTCTGGGCACAGAAAGCCCAGGGCTGGACTGGGGAGGAGGCAGGAAGGGGAGGCCCAGTGAGGAGAAGGCCCAGGCAGCATCCCACAGAGGGGTACCAAGGCCCCCAGGACTGTAAGCCAGAAGAGGCCAAGGAAGTGAAAACCAGAATGAGGTGACCAGATGGAGCCAGAAGGCAGAAGTGAGGCTGACAGGCCTGAAGCAACAGGGCTGAGAGGGGCAGAGTAAGGGGCAAGAGGGAAATTCATTCTAGACCCCTCACACTGGGATGCAGACAAGTTAACCACGTGAGGCTGTGGGACCAGGGTCAGGGGTAGAAGGCACGAGGAGAGAGGAGTCGTCACCCGGCAGAGGGTGGGGAGAGGAGAGGGTACAGGCAGAAACGTGGGGTGCCTCACTCAAAGGAGCAGGAAAAGAGACAGCCCCCATGGGCCCTGCACCCCCAGACTGCAGCAGCCCCAGCCCTGATTCCACCCAACTGCAACTACAGGCATGCCTTGCTACCCAAACTCCAGATCTGTATGGACCTGGATCTGTTTTCTGATAAACTCTCACCTGAGATCCCAGAACCAAATAGATCAGACAGAGAGTATGGAATCTCTCACTACCCAAATCTGCTCTCCGACTGAGGAGCTGAATGGATCGGGATAGGGACGGAGGCTGGTATCTGTCTAAGGACCCTGGGAGGGTGGGCCTGACCTAGGCAGGTGCTGCACAAGAGGGGCTGTCCACTCGCCAAGCAGTTACTGAGTGTCCACTCTGTGCCAGGACTGCAGACACTGCAAGGCGAGAAGTGAAGGACTGAGAGAAGGGTCCTGGGCAAAATTAGGGAACTCAGCCTAAGTCTGGCAGCAGAGGGAGCCCTGGAAAGGAAGACCGTGGGGAAACAGGGCCACAGGATGGCTTCTTGGCAGCCCTGTGAGCATTCTTGAGAGATGTCCTAAGACAGCTTGGGAGGAACTGCCACGTGCTAGGTACAGAGGAAGTGTCATGGAGGCAGAGGATGAGGACTCAGGGCATTGTTAGAGGCTTATGTGTCAGGGCTGGAAAGACCTGAGAGAGGCAGGTTGGGGAGGACGGTCCAGTCCCCTCCAGTGACAAAGGGCTCCCAGGGGAGGAGCCCTGAACAGGGTCCCCAGCAGCCTCTATGGCCAGACACTACTGGAGGAGGACACAGGCGGGCACTGCCACCCTGGAGAAGGCCACCAGGGAGGGCAGGACCTCCATGCTCCTCCTGCCTGCTAAGCCCAGGGCCACGGCCCAGGCCACTCCCTCCCTGTAAGGCCTGCTCAGCACCCCACGCTCTCCCTCCCTGCCACCTTCCAGTGGCTGTCTCCCTGGGGCCACCAGAGAGGTTTTATGACTCAAAACCCACTACGGCATCCCTGCCTGGGTGTCTGTGGGTGGTCCCCAAGGCCTCAAATGCAGCCCCCTCCTCCACCCCTGCCCATACCAGTTCTTACTGCTTCCTCCCATGGCTTCTGGGGACACCACATGCCAGGGATTTGGGACCTGACCACCCCAAAGAGGACTGTGAGCCAGAGAGGGTGAGGGGCTCACCTGAGGTCACACAGCCAGAGCAAGGCAGTTGGGATTCTGGCCACAGCCTGTGGACCTCCTGCTGACCCCAGCTCTGACCACCATCCACAGGGCCCCCCAGGGCATCCCTCCCTGCCGAGGGCAGAGAGGAAGTAGGCCGAGCCGACCCCAGGTGTCCTGGGCAAGTTGCAGTGATCCAGTTGCTGCTGGGAGCTACAGAAAGGCTGGGGCGGAGCAGTCTGAGGGCATGTGCCGGCCTCACCCACCTCCCACGTCTTCTCATACATCACCCCCGCCTTCCTTGCCCTGACTCAGCCCCAGGTGCCGGCAGATATGAAGGTACAGGCGGGCCTGACAGAGACTGCTCTCCAGCCCCAGGCCCCCAGCCTCCTGGTGAGGAGCACAAGGTGGGGTCAGAATCCCAGTTCTGAAGACCTCAGCCCTGCAAGCTGCCTAGCTCACTCACAGCCTCAAGTTCCTCACCTGTAAAATGGGCATAACAGAATCCATTCACAGTACTGTGCATGTGAAGTGCTCGGTTCAGGACCTCCACAAATGTTACTATTACTCACAACCATGCTCAGCTCATAACAACAATAGTAAGAGACTGAAATTTTTATTAATTAGCAGGTATAACTTTTATAGTTTGAAAAAGATCCAATAAAGACTTTTTTTTAAAAGGACCAGGAAAAGGATCACAAAAATAATAAGGATAAGTATGAGTAGGTCTCCAACAAAGGGAGAGCCCTCCTGGAGGAAGGAACTTTCCAGGCAAAGGTGAGGGGATGGGAACGCCGGGCCGTGTGCAAGGAACACGCAGGAACCCAGGCTCCCACCTGACCTTAGTGGGGCTCCGTTGGCACAGTCTCCAGCCTCCACAAGAGCCCAGAGCCAACTGCTGTCCCCTCTGCCAGCACATCCTGCAGAATTGGGAGGTGAATTCACCCCACTCAGATGCAAGGCCTGAAACACACACCAAGAGTCTTCAAATGGCCCCGAGGCCAATATAGGTAAGTAAACTCTCCATTCACAGGTGTCTAAAGCAAGGTTCCGAAAGATTAATGACTCACGGAAGGTCACCTCACTCGTCAGTCAATGAAATCTCCTGAGC